TATACCACAGGCAAAATAAGGTAGAAATCATCATGACCATTTTCCTCTGATATACCAACAAATATTTTGGAAGAAGAAAACGAAAGAGACAAATTTTGTTGTAGATTAAATAAAAGAGATTTGAATAAATAATATACTTTTTTTCAAAGATTCTTCACATTAATTTTGCAAACAGCCAGAATTTGGCTACTAGAAGAAATTTGCAAACATTCATTGACTCTATTAGTGTTCACAGGGTCACTTAATAAATGTTGGTAAGTCTGGATGCCAAATAAACACAGTTGAATTTTAAAGTGTTTGACGCATATATTTTATTAAACTGGTGTCTTGTACACTGAGATATGTAATTTCAGTCTGTTCAGTTACTCAATAGATACATTTAAAACAATGCTCAAAGCAACAATTACATAAGCTCACTATAAGAAAGGCTATACACTCAAGTAGCACTTTGGTAAATTATGAAACAAATGTGTACCAGAGAAATTCGGCAGAAATTAATTTTGGACATACCAAGCTGCTATGTGATGTTCTGGAAGCTAGTGGTAGATGAGTCATTCTTGGAGGTGGAGGAACTCCATGACTTCACAGCCCAGAACACTTGATATGACCATCAATGAACCATTTCAAACATCTAATAACCAATGGGAGCTGGCAGAGAGTCAACTGTTCTTCCAGATGCCAAATCAACAGGCAGGTCATCACAATCCAGCCTTTTATTTCTGTTAAATCATCCAGATAAGTGAATCTAACAATAAACTGTAACCCAACCAAAAATGTATGTCACTTTTCAGACATGAGTATGTGAACAATTGAAGTACTAAAGGAAAATACATGTTGAATTGTTTGTTGCTAAACTTTAACCATCCCTTCCCCCACCCTGCCTTGAAGCATTTTCTTACTGTCATATGACCATGAAATAAAATCTTTGTCCATTCTTAGAAAGGAAACTGAATGTCCTGATATTTAAGACTTAGCATAGGTCTACTCATTCCCTGCCGAGTTTCTAAAAAAAAAAAAGATAAATCAAATTCCTCTTTGAAAAAATAATTTCTATTTAAATTATGTGCTAATAATTTTTCAAAGTAAGTAATTGTTTTAAAGGTTGGAACTCAAGATCATAGAGTACAGAGATTCAAAACTGATCCCTCCAAAACTATATTTTTTTCCAGAAAAAAAATGCATCAGACTTTGAAGCACTTATACAGAAAGAAATGCAGCAAACAAACAGCTGATGGAAAGCAGGATAGCATTTGTGTAAGGTACTTAACTTGTGAAAAATCACAATTTCAAGATAATTTTGCCAAATAAATGTTGGCAAATAAAGTTTGGCAACACATTTTAGAAAGATGATTTATATACTACATATAAATGAAAGGCAAACTTAAATACAAATGACTCAAGCTTAAGTACATTAATATAATTTACACCATACCTAAACCATGTGACAATAGCCACATGGCAAATTTAGCTTTAACGTAAAAAAAAACTATAGAAGTCCTTTTATTTACTTCCATTTGCACAATTCCCAAATAGTAGACTAATCCGTGTATGCTTATCTGTTATGAATTATAATAATCTGCAAATTGTCCTTCAACACAGTAGCTTGAAAAACAAACACAAGTATATTTCATGCCTTAGTCCAAGGTAACCAGTTTGGGGTTTTAAAAGCTTTTGAGGTTGCCGAAACTGGTTTGGCTCAGTGGATAGAGCGTTGGCCTGCGGACTGAGAGGTCCCAGGTTCGATTCCGGTCAAGGGCATGTACCTGGGTTGCGGGCATATCCCCAGTGGGAGATGTGCAGGAGGCAGCTGATCGATGATTCTCTCTCATCGGTGTTTCTAACTCTCTATCTCTCTCCCTTCCTCTCTGTAAAAAATCAATAAAATATATTAAAAAAAAAAAAAAAGCTTTTGAGGTAAAGCAGAGCACAGCCTGACCAACCCTATAAATTTTTCTTTGTCAAACCTGGAATCCACCTCAATACATTGGTGACTCAGACCTTTGAACTTGCTAACATCACTCCCACCTTCAGTTTTTAAAGTAAAAGAAAAATGGTGAAGAATTCAAAACAAAAATGAAACTGACATCTCTAAATATCATTTTGTGCTTTAGAGTTTTTACTCCCTTGTTAGTTTGGAAATGCTCCATACTCCGAAATGTAGGTCCCATTTTTATGTTCCACAGATCTGACTCAAAAATAACAAGGAAGTATTCCAGCTTTCCTCGTCTACCTTGGAGTCCTCACTTCTCAGACAACAAGTAGGAGACTATATCCTTTCCTGTGATATTTTTCTTTCTTTCACCAAACTTCCTTTGGCAAAAAAAAATTGAGATACTTCTTTATTGTTTGTTTTTTTCCCCAAAGAACAACTCCTAATTAATATAAGCTGGGAAACTCAAGATTTATTTTCTCCCATTCCAAAAAAGGTGAGAGAATGTGAACAATATATGTTGGGCCTTCTTCCTTCTACTAAGCCTTCAGATAAAACTTAAAGAAAAAAGGTCAACCCCCAAAACTGAGTATTGAAGATATATACTATACCAAATTTATCTTTTTGGTTTTTCTTTTGTTTCTACAGCAAAACACCATGCATTCTTAACACCCAGTATTTTCCTACATCCAATTTTATAGGCAAGTTACCATGTAACAACATAGCTTCAACATGCTGGTTCTGTCCCTGGGTTTTCCACCTAATCACCCACTATGAGATATCGCCTACTGCCATTTTTAATGTTACCTCACCTGCTAATAACCATTGATTCTCCACTATTAAAACCACCCTCAGTTTGTCAAGAGTCCCTAGATATAAACATCAATAATTTAAAGCTAACTGTTGAAAGAGCTACACAGGATTGTTCCCTTTAAATTTTATGTTACTGCAAAACATACATATGGATGTACACTCACACATATAACAAATTTACACTGTCTGCAGAAATAAACTGCAGATATAATTCCAAACACACATTTAGAGATTCACATTTTAACAGCAAACTTACATGCAAATATAAGGAAGTATAGTTTTATACTCCTACTAGAGGCCTGGTGCACAAATTTGTGCATGGGTGGGGTCCCTCAGCCTGGCCAGCAATTGAGGCCTATCAGGGGGCTGGCTGGCCAGGGAGAAGGAACCTGGGAGGGTGGCAAGCCAGCCCCAAGATCAGAGCCTATCAGGGGGCCAGATGGCAGGGGGGAGGGGCCACGGGAGGTTGACCAGCTGGATGGGGTAATAGGCCATGGGAGGTTGGCTGTGGGAGCACAATGACCACCAGGGGGCAGCTCTTGAGTTGAGTGTCTGCCCCCTGTTGGTCAGTGCACATCATAGCAACTGGTCGACCGGTCATTCCAGTTGTTCCAGTCGTTTGGTTGTAACAGTCGCTTAGGCTTTTATATATATAGACTAGAGGTCCGGTGCATAAAAATTCATGCACTGGAGGAGGCAGGTCCCTCAGCCTGGCCTGCCCCCTCTCACAGTCCAGGAGCCCTCAGGGATGGGAGGCGACCCAGCGATCAGGGGAAGACAATGCCCCATCACACCTCTGCTGCTGCCACTGCTGGCAGTGCAAGCCTTGGCCGGCCCTGGTTACCTGAGCCTTGGGAGGTCCTGGGCAGATGGGCAGCCACCATCTGAGGCTTACCTGTGCCTCGGGCCGGCCCTGGGCAGCTGAGGCTTAACTGCACCGTGGGCCGGCCCTGGGTGGCTGGTGGGCTGAGGGGACTGGGGGGCTCTGGAGGCAGGCTAGTGGAGTGGCCGGGCCTGCCTGGGGGTGGGCCCAGCCTTGCCATGCACCTGCCGTCCCAGCGGGGCTAAGGGGACTGGGTGCCACGATCTTGTGGCTTTGGGCACCACCATCTTTGAGGGTGTGGCAATCAATTAGCATATTCCCTCCTTATTGGCTCTGGGCACCGCCATCTTTGAGGGCGAGACAGTCAATTAACATATTCCCTCCTTATTGCCTGTGGGTGCCGCCATCTTTGTGATGGCGTGAGGGTCAATTTGCATATTCCCTCTTTAATAGATAGGATATTACATAGCAAGTTGAAATATAGAATGCTTTAATGTTTTAGATTTATCCTTTCTTATGAGTCTTAGAAATAAGCAAAAAGCTATACACACACACACACATACACACACACACACATTTATACATATAGCAGTATCAGTCAATATGGTATTATTACTGACAAATTATCCAAATTGCTTAGTCTATACAAAAATGACATAAACATACTATATACAAAAACAGTTAGAGACAACAAATGAAACTTTATACAAGATACTTGAAACCATTGGTAGCTAACTTTGAATAGCTTTGACCAGAGGACTCAGCCTGTGCATTCCGTTCTGATATGAAGGAATAGTCATTCCTCTATAGTATTCTTAGCTACAGAATAGGAATGACTTGGGGAAGAAGGGGGACCTTGTGACACAGTTGGAAAATACAAGTGCACTGTTTAGAAATGTGTATACAATTTAGCATGTCATATTCTCTGAACTAATTTCTTTCACATTGTTACACTGACCAGGTAAATGGTCCAGAATACAAAATATAGTCACAGAGAACTCAGTTTTCACACTAATTCCTTGGTACAGTTATTAAAAATTAAAACATTTGCTGACAATACATTGAGGAATTGTGAAAAATACTGACTACTATTAAAGAATTTGAAGACAAGAACCTGTTCAAATGGATAAACAAAAGTGATCAAAAGAAACTCATAGCTGCCTAAGAGTTTTTAAAATTAGAAATTTAGAACTCAGCAAGTACATCAAACCACTTTTCATGTGCTCACTCAGCTTGGAGACTCGCAGTAACTGAATTACACATATATTTATACCAAGTATGTACAGCTGGACATAAATATGACGGCTGTTTCTGACTTGGTTAATGGTTATGGAAATGGTCACTAAGCTTACACTAGCTTGTGTACTGATCTAGGGAGTCACAGGGTCACTCTGGCACAGTTGACGTTTTTATCTAGTCAGTTTCTTTATATACTTAGTGAAAAACTGTTGCACAGAAACTCGAAGTCCCGGCCAGCACTCAGGCCCATCGTCCACTGGAGGCGAAGCTTCGGCTGAAGGAGAAGTTGATTTCGGAGTTCTTGTATTTCCCCCAAGCACCAAACGGCACCACGATGACCGTACTGTTGTCTTCAGCACCATACAGCATTGCCTGCAGGGTTTGGCAGGAAGGAAGAGAAAAACACTGGAAATCAGAGTCTGTACAAAGAGATATCATCCTTCCTTTGGCAAGTCAAACTGATTTCACACAGTTACTAACCCAATTACGTCACAGTGTTTGGGCACCACCATCTTTGAGGGTGGGGCAGTCAGTTAACATATTCCCTCCTTATTGGCTGTGTATGCCACCATCTTTGTGATGGTGTGAGGGTCAATTTGCATATTCCCTCTTTAATAGATAGGATATTACATAGCAAGTTGAAATATAGAATGCTCCAATGTTTTAGATTTATCCTTTCTTATGAGTCTTAGAAATAAGCAAAAAGCTATACACACACATATACACACACACATATATATACATATAGCAGTATCAGTAACCAGGTGTCAATGCCCAGTTTATTAGATTGCACGTAGAATAACAGATGACCCAAAACACCCACACTGACTATATTCCACTGCAGCCATTTTGGCAACAGAAACACCAGTGGACTAAGGTATAAGATATGCAGCTCCCGAAGAAGAAAATATCTATCAAGTATTTAGCATAGGAACTAATACAAGGTATAGATTCACAAGGTGTTAGTCCTTACCTAGCAATTCTGTTTCCATGAATTTAGCCTAAAGAAATAATAACCTAAGGAAGTGGACATGTATAAAGTTATAACTACAAGAAAGTTTATGCTCCCTACAAAATGAAAAGGTGGCATAAACTAAATTTCGTACAGTAGGAGAACTATAAATCAATTTCAGGAATTAATTCAAACAGCAAATGAGATAATCAGCATGGTAAGAAGTACTTGGGATTATATTTAATAGCAAATGTATTTCAAAAGACCTCACAGCCTCAGGCTGGAACTGTGAAGGAAAGGGTTGATCAAAATATCTGATGAAAAAGCTTCAGAAAGTAAAAAAGTTTTACAAACAAATTGAAAGACAGAAAAAAAATTGCACTATCAGACAAAGTACTACTATAATTAGTATATAGCAAGTTCTTACAATAATCATGAAAAAGATAAGCATACATTTATAATAATAAAAGCATAATATGCTAATTAGACCGGACATCTTTCCAACGAAGCTGGGGCTGCAAGGGAAGCCCGGGTCCCGGGTGCCTGCTGGCAGCCGGTGGAAGGAAAGCCTACTCTTGCACAAATTTCGTGCATCGAGCCTCTAGTACAGTGGTTCTGAACCTGTGGGTCGCGACCCCTTTGGCGGTCGAACGACCCTTTCACAGGGGTCGCCTAAGACCATCCTGCATATCAGATATTTACATTACGATCCATAATATTAGCAACATCACAGTTATGAAGTAGCAACGAAAATAATTTTATGGTTGGGTCACAACATGAGGAACTGTATTTAAAGGGCCAGAAGGTTGAGAACCACTGCTCCAGTATAAGATAATGGAAAAAGCAAGCTGTACACTGATGAGAAATATAAGCTATAAAACATACTAGACAAGTGTAAATTGGAATATCTCTGAAGGGCAATTGGTAAAGATTAAAAGCTTTAGAATACTATGTATTCTTCACCTAGCAATTTTACTTATAAGACTTTAACCTAAGAAAACAATACCTGAAGAAAATAGATATGCACAAATAGATATAAGAAGTTTATTATAGTGTTCCCCCAACAAAAGGGCAAGGTGAATATGAACTAAATTTGCTGATTAGGGGAACGGTTAAAGGACTTGTGGTACTCAAATATATAGTCGAATGCTGTGCAGTCATTGTAAATTGCATTGTCCTCATGAATTAGAACACATTATATCAAGACAGGAGGTTGAAAAATAGGAAGGAAGTGACCATCAATGAAACTGGGACTGTTTTCTTAATCTCATGAGCACACATAGTAACCAAGTGAATCATTCATGCTTGCCCATTTATTTTTGAGCAAATAATGCTTTTTAAGTAATGTCTTATTGCCTCAACTACAAATATTAATACTTAAAATGTGAGCCATGCTGCTCTCCCTGTGAAGTAGCCATCTCTCTGTCCCATAGCTTCACTAGTAAACTCGCTTTCACTTTAAACTCTAAAAAAAAAAAATTTGGACCAAATTTGACTCCAGGATTGAAAATGTAAAAAAATCAGGAAATGCCAAAATAGCTGTTGAATTAAACTGTGTCTCTAATGATTGGTGATGGCTCTAACTTAAAAAGCTATCCAAAAAGATATTACACAACACATGGAAATTTTACGTTTTCTCTGCCGATATTATCCAGCTTCCAAATTTTAGCTCTGACCAACAGAGTGACATACAACACATCCACACACCTTTTGGTATTTGTTTTTTTCACACCCATCCTCAGAAACCAGAAGTTGATATGCTATAGTGTTCCTATATATTGGGTAATGACTTGGAGAGTCTAATTTAATAGTCAAGGGATTAGACTTGGGAAACTGGCTGTCCAAATTGCTGTCTATACAAATTGCTTAATCTATAGTTTGAAGCCCAACAGACAACAAATATTCTGTAGCTTAATAGTTTTGTGACCTTGACTAAATCAATTTCACCTCCGTGCCTCAGTTTCCCTCATTCATTAGAAAGAGATAAAACTAGTTCCAACCTTACAGAGTCATTGTGATAATTAGTGTGTCAAATACTAGGTACATATCAACAGAAGAGTATCTGACACATAGTAAGCAATATTAGTATTTACCATTATAATTTACTATGTGCTGTTACTACTATTTCAAGATGTGTACAAAGCCAAAAAATAAACATAGCATATTTTCTTGGCGTATTAATTTTAATTAACTATTTGGGAGAAATGTAAAAAAATGTTTTCTTGTGTTTGTGTTTTTTTAAAATATATTTTTATTGATTTCAGAGGGTAAGGGAGAGGGAGAGAGAGATAGAAACATCAATGATGAGAGAGAATCATTGATCAGCTGCCTCCTGCACACCCCCTACTGGGGATTGAGCCTGCAACCCGGGCACGAGCCCTTGACCGGAATCGAACCCAGGACACTTCAGTCCGCAGGTCAACACTACCACTGAGCCAAACGGCTAGGGTGTAAAAATGTTTTAAATTGGATATATTACAGAGACAAGTGTAAAATTCATTGTACACTGGAGCTGAAACACAAGATTCAAAGAAATCAAGTCTGTGGGGGCCCCTCCAGGCTGTACCAAAACCTGCACCTGGGTTTGTCCTCTCCCACCGCCTCCCCCCACCTTCCCCCAGGGGGACTTTTCTAGCAGAAGCTCAGCTGTATCACCTGTTCAGTCACTGCATGGGCCGCTTCAGTGGGATCAGGGCACTGATTGACGAAGTCACAAATCTCTTGACTATTCACCATGAAGTTAATTCCATCCGTAGTGAGGACCAAGAAGCTGTCATGGGCATGATGTAGCTGCAGTAAAACCAAATTCATAGGATTATAAACTACACTCGGCCTTGGAATAATCTTCATAATTCGAAGATTTGTTTGCTGAGCGGTCATCTGTGTTTACAGCTTGTAGGCAAACAGAGTGAAAATCGAAGGCTTGTATTTAGGGCAAAAGTAGCAACATTTAGCATCAACCACCAAGGACAAACCTAACATTTACTTAGTAACACCACAAAGGAAGCAGCCAGATGGCGGGGTGCCAGGAGTGCAAGCTGTAATGGTGGAAGGCTCCGTCTCTGGAGCCAGGCTTCCGAGTTAGAAACCTGCCTCTATTTTTCTGCTGAGCAAACAGAGGTAAGGTGGGCTCCATATGCTCTAGATTTGTTTTCTCTACAAAATGGGGCAGTCGTAGCTATTTTGAAGAGCCTGGCATATAGTAAACACTGGATAAGTATTTGTTAGAGAGAACAAGTATAAGTGGGCTATCTACCATGCATGAAATCGTTCTGTTAATTAACAAACGTTTGCTACCATCAGTGGAAGCCTCCACTACACTGTGCCAGGTACTAGCGTGGGACAGGGGCTGCAGAGAGGGAGATGTTGGGACGTGTCGGGTAATGTGGACATTAGTGAGTAGCAGGCGAAGGATGTCACAGAAACCGAGGTCACGTGATGCTTTAGTGTGATGGAAAAGGAAAGTCAGGTTAGCTTCCAAGTGGCGGTGATGCTACACGATCCATCAGGTGCCGGTGAGGACGAGCAGGGGCGCCGTTCTACGAGAATTCCACAGTGGGTGACACCAAAACCAAACACATCCGCATCCAGTGGGCCTGGAAGGTGGTATCTTATGTTCACCGGAAAGTTTCTCTCTCCTTCCCTTAATTACTCCCTTTCAAAAGTTACTGGCTTCGCTTAAGGTTTCCAAGAACGCTTGTAGCTGGCGACACCTGCTTTCATTCCTTGCCTGTGTAGCAAGTGTTTACACGTCCTTTCTTACCTTAATCCTCTTCGTTTCTGGTTCTGCTATCACACCACTGCTTTTAAGATCCAAGTCTCCAAGACTCCTTGTCATCGCAAGCCTGCCATTCACATGAGGCTGTCCCAAGCTATTCCACGCTACAAAACCGCCACACTTCTTGATCCTGATCAAGAAGAAGTTGAGACCAAAAACAAGGCACGGTTAACTTTAAGCATGAGGTCAGTTTAAAATGCAAGGTTGCATTTCCATGAAGTAGACATAAAAAACATCCTCATCAGTTGGAGGTGGTACCTTTCTTTTTCATCTTTTCTCTCCGGAGTATGGTCAATGGTCAGCTTGATGGATTTTCCTTTTCTACACAAAATAGCCCGGCTATCCCCAACACTGGCGACAACCAGCTCAATACCGTCTCTCAACAGGGCTACTGTTGCAGTAGTCCCAGAGGTCATAACGGTTGCTGTAAACATTGTGAAAAAGAGTGCAAGTTATTGACAGTCCAATGATCTGACATGAAATTTTCATTACAAAATAAAACACAGGCATGTTAAACTAATGCTGAAATGTATCACTTTAATGTAACTAGGGCTATGCCAGTGAATCGCAAATGAACTATGTAAGTAAGAGCATGCAGAGGGAGAAGTATTTGATTCAGTAACAAGGCTCCATGCAAACAGAAAAGGTTGCTGTCCTAATTGGGAAATAATGCACCGCTGTCCCCAAATGGCCTCTCTTTATAACAAGTAGAGCTGAGACAAACTGATAATAATTATTATGACACCTGTGTGTACATCAGGTGTCAGAATTAAAAGCATTACATTTTAATTAGATTGGCTAATAAGTTAGGATGGCTTAGGTCTATTGAGCCCATTCAGGCAAGCCAGCTTTTCTATAATCTATGGACTCAGAGGTTTTCTCTTTCATTTCTTACTCTTATCCTGTGGAAGTAATATCAGTTAACAGGCTAAGCAAAATATGCCAAGGGCATATCATTTGCTCTCCAAGAGCTATATTTTATGTTCTTACCTTCTACAACTATTTCAATTTTATAAATGTTTACCAAAAAAAAAAAATCCTAAAATGGTTAAAGACTTATATCCTTTTCTGTTTATCTTTGTGGTACCAGCCATGAAACAAAGTTATGGCCATCATTTTATTAGGAGAAAATTGAGGGGAAGGATGTAATTCATTCTGGTTTCCCATAAGCTTGGTGTAGTTAACACTACACAAGGATCTAACACAATCTGTCTTTGTCCAAATGCAGGACGGCACTGCCAAGTGCTCCTCCCGTGGTTATGCCCTGAGCCCAGAGCATTCCATGAATATTAATTTTCTGTGACCAATAACGAAATCAAACATTACACGGCTTGAGGTCACCACTATTTCCCCCATCCCATCCTAACTGCATTTTTTTCATCTTCCTTTGACTTTTTCTGACAGTGTCTGCCCTCCGTTTATTACCACTTGTTAAAAAAAATTTAAGGTGCATTGAGCCTTGCCAAAGAGAGAATACTGTGACATTATGGGCTAAAAAGTAAATCAAACTGGAAGAAATGAAATAAAATAAAGACATTTAAAGCAGGTATTGTCTTTTGTAATGTGGTTAATTCTTTAGGGCACCTACATAAAATATTTAGGTGGTAATCCAAAGACGATTTTTCCTTCAAAGGTAGATTTAGGAAAAATGAAGTGCTACTGATTTCACTAATTGAAGCTCAATCTTGGCAATTTTTTTTAAAAGAGACAATTTTTAAAACTTCACCAGCAATGCACTTTGGAAAGATATATATTATTTTTATTAAAATATATAAAATGCCTGCTTTAATCAGAAAAGTAAAATGGGAAAAGATGAATAAAGCCTACTTTAACCTTTTATATCCATGCTGAGTTAACTGAGAAATAGCATTTATAGTTCTATCTTCCCATTTGTCTGTTGATTTTGGAACTGTTGTGTCAAAGCAACAATATCTGGGCAATGCTAAATTGTATTCGCCACTGTATAACATATAAGTTTTAGCGTATCAGTGATGTCTGTATTACAAATGTTAACTAGAGTTTCCAAAACACTATAAAATAGAATCATGAGAGCTTAATCACTGTAACATTTTCAAATTATTGGAAGAGCAGAGAGGGGTTTTATTTACTCAGATGCTACCTGTCCAGGGAGATTAGCTACCTCTCCTTTGTTTAAACTCTCAGCAGCAGCTTTTTAAAAAGTGCCTTTTAATTGGCTGCCTCAAAAGAATTAAAATTTCATAAATGACAATTTCAAGTTTAGCTGTTCAGGATTATAATTCATGGCTCTGCCACCTAGGAATTTCAAAGAGCTTATGTTTCCACCAACCCAACTTCACAGTTCCAAAATCCAAGGATTTAAGGGAAAGTTTTCAAAACTAACTGCTGATTCTGGTTTGCGAAGCATCTAAGAATATAAATATTAAATCAACATTTACTTTATTTAACATTTAATATAGAAGTAAAAATTCTCACTTTTTGCGCTAACAACAAAACTATAAAACTAAGACATCTTTCAATAAGTTCTTAACACTCACTGGACATTTCCTACTGCAAGTCATCTCAACTAATGGGGCAAAGAGGATGTGGGAACCTTCCAGTAGTCCAGGCTAGGAACCGCTGGACTCCTTCACCTGGGACAAAATTAAGCTGGTCTCTCTTTCCACTGAAGCCCAGCATATAGTGTCCACGGGCTCCAGGTCTAGAGCTGCTGACCAGGCACAGTTCTCTGCCACAAATAACACGCACAGAGGCAAATAGGAAATTCACCCAGGAATTGTGCTCAAACATTACAAACCTGCAACACAGGGGAGGGCAGGGAAAGAGCTGCAAAATAAGGGGAAGGGTTTTTATTTTGGTGAAAACTTCACTTGCAAATTACATACTATTCCAGGAGATGCCAAATCAAAGATTCCAAAACTCAGTTTGCACATGTTGATGGTATTTTGTAGTCAAGTCTATTTTCTCATCACAGTTTTACTGTTTCGTTTTGTGGCTTCCCAAGGTAGGAAAAGCCATATACAAATGCATGTGTACCAAAACACACAAGTGGTGACGCAGACACATATCTGAATACTTATATACACTCTCACACAACACACACTCACTCTGCCTATAAGAGGAAAGCAGTAGCTTTATTGAGTTGAAAAAAAAATGCACTGTATATTCGTTTGGTAGCAATATCAGAACTGTCTCAAAATCAGGAAGGAAAATTCAAAGTCTAGCACTGAGTACAGTATTTGTTGTATCTGACAAACAGTACGTAGTTAAGGAAGATGTGAACCACAATATACCACCAAGTTAGTGAGACTGAAATATATACCTAGGAGGGATCAAAGCACCTCCTATTCCAGATACAAAGAGAAACACATTTGTTAATGGAGCTCAATGCAGGAATTTAGTATCTAGAAGCCCTTTTCTTTTCTTCAGTGGAATGATTGTTTAAATAAAGGCTAGTAGAGCTCTTGAGCTTTATATAATTCATAAAGTGGGTGTTTCTGCAGCTCTCTTTCTCCCAGTGTTGCAGGTCAACATATCACAACAAAAACGATCAAGATTTTGAATGGCAACAGAAAGAGTAAAAGCTGTACTGTTCAAGGCATAGCCCCCATCCCCCCTGGTAATTATGCAACTGTGCAAACAGCACTATGTATAGACCAATACAGTTCCAATATTTATTTAAAATGGGTGTTCCGGACATGTGTGACACATGAACACCAAAGTCAAGGTCAGGGCTGAGGTCAGGAACAGCACAGTAGGAGTGTCTCTTCAGTGCCATCTCTATTTTTCCTCTTTTGGCTCCCCTCGCATAAGAAGGGCACTCAAAACACTGCCTTTCTAACACCGGTTGTGTTGTCGCTAAATTCTTCCATAAAGAGATCACATAGCAGGAAGAGCATGGAAGTTTCCGATGAGACTCACAATGCTGTCACCATCTCCAACTCTGAACGTCAGAGCAAGTCTTCCCGTTTTTATCCGTTTATCTCTTGAGAAGTTTTGTTGCTTTCAAACCTTAAGCAATCTAGAAACACTCTGAGGAGTTCATAGGACGTACAGAATTACAACCTAAGTTTTCTACCGTCTGGTTTAAGTGGCAGTTTGTTCATAAGCAATAGACTAATGGGATCATTTGAATTTACTTGCTGGTTAATTATTAAAATATATATGACTGGTGTAAATGGAATATAAAATTTTCAAACATGATGATGAAATTAATTATTTGTAAATAAGGGTAAATTAAAAATTCGTCAACAAATCAATAAAAATAGCAAACAATTTCTTAGGGGCTAGAGTCTTGCCATTTCGTCATAAGTGGCATTCTTATTTTTTTCTCAAATACTCCCAGTTTAAACTGAAATAGTAAATATTTTAAGTGCTAATGGGATCATTTTAAGTACTTTATGCAGATGTGACAGTTTTGGACTAGAGTCTTTTTTTTTTTTTTTTTTTTTTTTTTTTTTTTTTTTAAATCAACTGGTTGCCTCCCATATGTGCAACTTAGGTACGTGCCTGACTGGGAATCAAACCTGAGACCTTTTGGTCCACAGGACAATGTTCCAACCAACTGAGCCAGGGCTGGATTAAAGTCTTGATGAGAATGTTTTATTTTTACTTTATTTTCACTTTCTCTTAAGAAAGCTAATATAGTATGATTGAGGGGTACTCCTCTCATCTATACCTGAAATTCCAATATTAGTAATTCATTCCTATGATTAAACCAATCTTTTTTCAGGTTTCCCTACTTAAAATTCCCCACCTGCAAGCTACTCACAGGAAGCATTAAAGGAGAAAATAGGGCTAATGCTAAAAGAAAGGTGAAGGAAACTGGAGAGGGCAAACTGCAATTACTTCACAATTTTATGTAACTAATACTGGTCCTACCCATGTTTATGTTGAAAAGAATACTGTCACCCGGCCAGCGTGGTTGAGCATTGACCTATGAACCAGGAAGTCATGGTTCCATTCCCATCAATACACATGCCTGGGTTGCAGACTTGATCCCCAGTAGGGGGTATGCAGGAGGCAGCCGATCAATGATTCTCTCTCATTGTTAATGATTCTCTCTCATTGTTGATGTTTCCATCTTTCTCCCTCTCCCTTCCTTTCTGAAATCAAAAATATGTATTTTTTTAAAAATAATATTGTCCATTCTTATAATACTGACACTGCTTTAGTTCTTAAAAAAAAATAATTTAAATAATAGCTTTGAAATCTGAAATGGCCTAAGGGTTTTCTTAATCCAAAAATTGAAAAGTTAAACAATATAAAACATTCTATTTTTAGTGGCTTTAATACATTTGATAAAATAGGCCCCAAATGTCTACTGGCAATTTTTGCCATTTTTTAAAGCCTTGGCAACTTATTAAGAATTTTAAAGTTGTTCTCAAAATACTTATTAAAAAATACAGACTAATTGATCTATAAAAATGCAAAATAAGATTTAAAAACAACAATGCCATAATAGACCTTATTTCTTTTAATAATAGACTAAGCATTATTCTGACTTGCTCCATTATACTTGCAAACAAATGGCCATTAAATGAAAAATAAATTTTAGAATATTATTAAAGTTTTTTTAAATTGATTTTAGAGAGATGAAGGGAGAAAAACATGGATTTGGTGTTCCACTTATTTATGCATTCATCAGTTGATTCTTATATGTGTCTTGCCCAGGGATTGAACCTGCAACCTTGGTATATCAGGAGATGCTCTAACCGACTGAACTACCCAGCTAGGGCTGAAAGTTCTGATCATTAACTCAAAGCATGTGACAGAGGAACTAAATTAAATAATTACATTTTAATTTCATTATTAGAAATGGATTACATTTTTTATAATTAATTTCTTTGAACAGCCTCTATTTATAGGAGAAAGGCATCGTTACTAAGTTTCTTTTAAGGTCAGCAAGTTAAGTAAATTCTCTCCCTAAATTCTGAATTTCCTTTAGTTATAATTTATTATTTCATAAATGACTGGGGCCTGACCAGCATGGCTCAATGGTTGAGCACTGACCTATGAACCAGGGAGTCTGGGTTCGATACCAGGTCAGGGCACATGCCCCAGCTGCAGGCTCCATCCCCAACAGGAGGCAGCATATCGATGATTCTCATCATCAATATTTCTCTCTCTCTCTCCCTCTCTTTTCCTCTCTGAAATCAATAGAAATATATTTTAAAAAATAAATGACTGGAATCTTCTACTTAACACTGAATCTATTATTGTTTTAAGCATCTTGTTGGTTAGATCATTTACAAAAGGGTTGGCTGCACCCATGAAGGATTTATGCTTTGGATTGCTGTCCACATTCCCATGTTGAACTTGAACATTCTCTTCTGAAAACTTTGCCCAGTAAGTTCTGCCTGTTTATACAACAACTAGGGCACAGCACCTGCACCATAGCTGGTAAACATCGTGGTATGAGATACAGCCAATCTGGTTATGAAAGAAATAAGCATACCAATATGGATACCAATTTTCAGTTATAAAAATTAAGTGACCAGAAAGTGTCTAAATCTTCTTTTTCCTTTATATATTTTACCCATTAAGAATAGTCTTATGCCTAAAATTTACCCTCTCTTGACCCCTATTTTTCATAAGATGAGGGACCAATTAGAAGGAAGAAAAGTCCAAAAGAATAAAAGGGAAAATTAGCCTGAGTGAATCCCAGAACAAAGATGAACTCTAATGCTTTTCTGAGGCTTGTGACAATGAAAAGTTCCTCAATAATGAGGGGGAAGGCCTAGCCAGGTAGGTCAGTTGGTTAGAGCATCATCCATCCGGATACACCAAGGTTGAGGGTTTGATCCCCAAAGAAGCAACCAAGGAATGCATAAATAAGTGGAACAACAAATCAATGTTTCTCTCTCCCCCCTGCTCATATAAATTTTTTAAAAAGCAGGAAATCCTCTTAATGAGTCATCCTAGAGATATTTTCTCTAATCCTCATCATTAAATATGCTCAGGAGAGAGGCCACAGTGGGTACCAGGAAAACCCCAGCAACTGCCCTTTGTCTCTCTCTGAGTTTCAGTTTCTTATCTTGGAACAGGGCGGGGGGGGGGGGGGGGGATTGCCATTTGCAGGCACTCCAACAGAAAACTGTGAAAATGACATTTCTGTGGTGCACTTTAAACAAAAGGATGAACCAAACATACATTAATATTATTGCATGATTCATTTTCATTCTATCTGCATACATTTATATGGTTGTTGCAGAAGTTTTCGAGATTAACTTTATAAGCAAAAACTATGGGAGCCGGCTAACTAGAAAACATTAACTACATTTTCTGAAATGGTTTTGATAAGTTTAGTCAAAATCAGAAACACTTACGTACTTTCAATATTTAAGAACAAGCAGCACACAAAATTTTAAATTCACCTTGTGTTTAACACAAAACAAAATATCACTAGTTACAACAGGAATGTCCAAGATCAAGTTTTTTTAAGAAGAAAGAGAAAAAAAATATTTTCGTTCTAATTATACAAAGTAGTATGTGCTAGTCATTGTCCTTTCCTGTCTAGGACCAATTAGCAATTTTCTCCTTGCCTGACCAAAAACTGTCCTGACTAGATGAGATTACTGTGTAGTGTATTTCAATTATTTGTTCATCAGATTCATCTAAACAAAAATAATAAACCCTCTCATAGTATGGATATCTTGTCCATAAAATGTTCAAACAGATTAAAAAGTTTTTAAAAATATTTTAAAATTGATTTCAATATCAGAACCATTTTGAAGCTTCGATTTCTGAAAAATTCTCCAATATACATATTTCATTTAAAAGGGAGGTACTATCATTAGTTTGGATTCCAAACAGCATTTAAAGTGGCTCTTTATATAAAATCATTTTCCACATAAACATTTTTACAAATCAAGTTCCATTAAAATTCCCACCCCTAAAGAGCTTAAATTGTTTCCATTTTATCCAGATATTCCCCAGGACCCTAAGGAATGTGATTGTTTTACTTACCATCAGCAGACAGATGGGCATGACTCGCAAAGGCTTTATCTATTTCTAGAAAAGCCAAGGTCAACACAGCTTCCAAGTTCTTCTCCTTGGGAAGCAAATCCCTTTGTGGAGAGGGAAAAAAAAGAGCCCCAAAATATCATTTTACAATAGTTGTCTCCTCTTCCTCTCATCTCCTCTCCTTCAGGTCATTCTAGCTAGCAGTCACTCCCTACAATGGGCCCCCATGGCTTGCCTCTCAGGTGCTCGTTAAGTGTCTCCTAAGTGATAAAGCCTCTAAGGGCACTAAAATAAAAGTCTAAATTCCCATATTAGAAGATTAATCATTACTGCACCTACAATTACTAGCATGTACAGTACATAATACTTGATAATGATAATAAACAACTGTTCATGGATTTACTATTCTTTCAATATTTACAATGCTTCTTCTTATTTTAGAGTGTACTCTCTATGTATCAGAAATAAGTTTGCTGTAAAACAGTAACCATGTTACACCAGCAGCAGCCTCACACATCTCATACTACCCTGAAAGGTCAAGTTCTTCCTTATTAAATTAAGTCACTGAGTTCTTCTGCAGAACAAGGCAAAATACGCTTAAATCAACTAATGAACAGTATGAACAACTATACACAGGAAGACAAGAAATAGTCATAGCCACAACTCTGTCACGTTTCCCCCTCTTTTGATGCTAGCAGTAGTGTGATCCTCAAAAATACATTATACTAATTGCATTAAATAAACTATGTAAAGGGCTCCAAAATACCCACATTAAATGCATTTCCCCATACTAATGCCAATTATCTAAAGCTATTTTCAACAAGTGTTCAAAGCTATTCATGCCACTTGAGAGTATAATTACTATTTATGGAAGCACCAGGTGCCATGTACTAGTAAAATGTTTCCAATAGATTCTTATAACACATGAGATTGTGTACTTCAAGTTAATTCACTTGAAATAATCACAAATCAAGTACCATGGATTCTGGTTGTTAAAAGAAACAATAGGCCCAAAATGGAGTCACATGTGCTAAACCCACATCACCAAAACAAGGCTTAATAATACCTAAGTCAATTGCAGTTCCAACCTTTCCCAGGAACAGTAATCTCAACTGGTCAGTCTGGAATTTTCTGGTTAGCACAAATGAGGTAACCTGCCACATCGGCTCTTTCCATTAATCAAAGGGAGAAGTAATCTGCTCTTTCCTTATCCCTTTTCCCCTCTGCCTACAAAAGCCTTCCATTTGGTTGAGCTCCTGGGAGGCCCTTTCTATTTGCTAGATGGGATGCTAGATTCAGGAATCGTTCAATAAAGCCAATTAGATATTTGAAATTTGCTCTGTTGAATTTTTGGTATTTAACATGGTCAATGCTATTGCCAGGGGAGTTGTTAAAACATATGTTTCTGAAATGGTAATAGTCGTCAGTCATAAATGGAATGCTTAAGCTAGTTCTTGTTCATGAAACAATTATAAAACCACTCAAATAACTATATTAACCCTGAACATCTTAGCCAAAAGGTTAAAGTTTAAACATAAAGGCAAACTGCAAGTTCAAGAGTGAAAATCACCGTACTTACATGATGCATTTCTCCATGTGGGTTTGACAGAAATCAGCAGCTGCAGGCCCACCATGTCCATCGTAAACCGCAAAATACAGGACCTCATCGGTCAGCTGAGCAAAGTCAAATCTATCTTCATTCTCTTTCCGTTTGCCAATCTGTGAGGCACAGCCCACCTTCTCCAAGCTGATTTTGGGTATTGGCTTGCCATACTTAATGCTGGGTGGTAGCAGAATTGGCTCATCAATGCGGTTATCCCAGATCCCAAAATTATCCCAGGTGGCTGGACGCCCACTACCATCTGGGTCAAACCGAGAACACCTGGGCTCTGAAGTGGAGCTGTGGCATGTGGGTGTCACCCGCCGGTCATCCTGCAGCAGGCGGGAGCTTAGCAGCACTCTCCTTCTCACCTGGTTCCCACCACTTCTAACCAAAGTAATTAAGGCAGCTGTTGACATAACTCAAATCCCAAGGACTCAGTAGTCAGGGAAAGGTCAATGAACAATAATGGAATGTCTTCAAGAAAAATGATGCAACTAAATGAAAAGAAAGAGAGAGAGACTCCATCAGCAATTCTGGATATAACTGATATATTACTAGAGATTACCAAAAATGAAGGCATTAAAGAATGTGGCACCTAACAGCCAACTTCTAAGGATAGCGGACCAAATATGACCCACTATTTACCCCATTCGGAGTTTAACTTCTATAAAATTGTGACAATGTGCACATAGCATATAGAATCAAGCTTTAACCTACAATCACCTTGGGATCTAGTTAAAATGCACTGACTCAGTCTGTGTGCGTGGGGGCCCAAGATTCTGCGTTTCTAACCAGCTCCCTGGTGATGCCTGCCTGGTCCAGCAGGCCAACACTTTAAGTAGCGGGAATATAGGATACAGGTATAAATAAATATTCTTCCCTTTATTAACTCCATTGCTCTGAAGAAAAGGAATAAATATTACTAACAAAGTTTCTTACAAGAGAGAAATAAGAGAAGAAAAAATAACTGGTTAATCGAATGTTTATAATAGTTCTGTACACAAAGAGTGTCCCAGTCTCAGCAAAGACACACTTAGGATCTAAGCTTTGTTATGTTCCAAGATTTCTCCATTTACTAAACTTCACCTATGTACATTGGTTCATGCAAAACACTCCTAGAGGCACAGGATAAGCCAGTTCTGAAGTTTCCCTTTGTGGTAGACACTCCCAGGGAAGGTGTGTGATCTCGGGATCGAGGCGCATGCATTTGTGACCAGCAACCCTGATTGATGAGCAACTGATCTGTGCATTTACATTAACAGTTGCGGCTCTCCCCTCACACAGCCCCAGGAGCCCACCTACACTCATGCCTGCAACTACAGCAGGAGACAGCACCAGAGACTGAACTACAATTCTTTGAAATGATTATTCTGCACCCCCACTTCTGGACTCTGTCCCAAAGCTAATCCTAAAACTTCCCCCGGGTATGGTCAGGGGGGAATTCCTACACCCTAGCAGGAAAAGCTGTTTCTGGCAGTTTTCCATACAAAACAAGTTCTAAGCAGAAATCCATCTCCATAGTACTTTGTTCTGTTATTTTATTAATTGAAAACATAGCATGAAGTTAAGATTTAATAATGCCAATGGAGGGTATGCAGATGTTATATTATTCTCAATTGTATGTTTGAATAATTTCGTAATAAAAAATGAGTTTGAAAAAATAGATTTCCCTAAAAGGCACAAACATACACAATACAAACAAGCCCAGGTGAGTGAATCTATAAGAAAATGTGTTACAGATTTCAAAAAGTCATTTTCAAATAAAATTTTGGAAATCAGTGTAGCTATGTATAGGAAGGGCCATTACTCCTTTCACTGAGTAAAGAAGTAAAAGGAAAGAATGCGGTTCCAAAGAACACCCCTAGATATTTAAGCAATGAAAGACATGAGCTCTGACTTCATAGTATTTAGAATAAAGACACCCCCTCCCCAATAATGAATCCTATATAATAAAAGAGTAATATGCAAATGGACCAAACTGCTGAATGATCGGTTGCTATGACACACACTGATCACCAGGGGGCAGACACTCAACACAGGAGCTGCCCCCTGGTGGTCAGTTCCATCCCCCAGTGGGAGCACTGCTCAGCCACAAGCCAGACTGATGGTTGGCAAGCACAGCAGCGGTGCCAGGAGCCTCTCCTGCCTCCCAGCAGCGATAAGAATGTCCCCCCGAGGGCTCCGAGACTGCTAAAGGACACAGGCCAGGCTGAGGGAACCACCCCCCCTCCCTGCCAGTATACAAATGTCATGCACCGGGCCTCTAGTGTTATCATAAAAGACTTAGAAGGCCATTTCCTCTTGGCCTTTTAGCTGATATCATGCATAAAAGACTGAAACTCACTTCTTTTATGACAATGTTGAGGAGGTGAAGACAGCATCTCCGGTTATCAAGTATCTAAGAGAAGTAACACATTCCACTACACAAGAAGAGGTATTTATTTATTCCTTTGCTTCTCATTGAAGGTTATATTTTATTCAGCTACAATAACTGTCAAATAAAGGTGATGACTTGTGGAGAAATGTCAAACTATAACACAATCTAGCAGGTAAGAGAACTAAGTACTACTTATTGGTACAGATAATTCACAAAGCAGCTTTATTACATCTAGAAAAAAGTAAAACCTTTAAGTGTGTTGATAAGCAAACTCATTCATTTTGAAGAGTGCACCAAATATTAGCAAAGTACTCTTCTGGTTTCAGTCTGAAAGCATGTATGCTATCTTCAGCCTTAGGCCATTTTGCAGTCTTATGCACCTCCTTTAAACAAGAATTCTGAAATTACAAACAATATTGAATAAAGTTCTTCTGCAGTTTTTATGGGATACTTTTGCCCCCCCCCCTCCCTTGCTCTATCTTCCAAATATAAAAAAACTTAAACAGCTGCATTCTCAGCAGGGAACAAATATCCACTGAAAACATTATTAAATGTTTTAAAGAATGAAATAAAATGCAAGTTGGGCCTTGGCTGGGGCTCAGTGGTTAGGGTGTTTACCCGTGCAAGGAAGGGCCTTGGGTTCAGTTCCCCATCAAGAGAAAGTACCTGGATTACGTACCAGGTTTGATCTCCACCCCAGAGGCGCCTGTGGGAGGCAACCTATCTCTCTCTCTATCTCTCTCTCTCTCTAAAAATCAATGGAAAAAATATACTCGGGTGAGGATTAGCCAAAAAAAAAAAAAAAAAAGTTTGGTTTTTCTTTATGCCCACATGTATTTAAAGCAATCATCAAATTGGCCTCCTTCCTCATTTATTATCTGCACAAGCATCTCAGAGAGTAAGCAGAAGAGTCATAGAAGCATTTTCTTTAAGGCCTACTATTGGCATAGATGAAATGTCAGGCAAACATATAGCTAGTTTACATAACTAGGTCAGCATGAATTATGCAAGCAGGAAACGTTGCATAGGAAGTGGTTCCATCCTCTTTCCCATAAGCAATAACTAAGTCATACTAATCTTCCCCATATTCCCAAGGAAACAATCCAAAGAGGACCTGTGTCCCCAAGCTAAGTAACAACTTTGAACTAACCCTGAACATCAAAAGGTTTCCTCCATTGCTTCACACGAGGAATCAGTCAACAGCTCTCCAGCTGCCCAAGGAAATGAATATGTACCAATTATCAGGCAAGAGAGTAGAACATATGATATAAAAAAGACAAAAGAGCCCCCCAAAAATGTAGTGTTTCTTTCTTTTTTTAAAAAAATCAGTGTTCTTTATAATGAAAAGAGTGGAGAGCAAACTGACAAACACTTAAATATTTTTATTGTTCAGCAATTATAAATCAGCATGTATTTATGATTCTGCTAACTAAAAAAGTTATTCAGGAGTCATTTATGTCAATCTTTCAATTGAAAATCAAGGCTAGCTTATTTCTATAAACCATTTTAACATTTATATTCAATCTTTGAAAGTAAAAGTCATCCAAAAGGGTCAAAGGGCAGAAGTAATTCTGCTTGAAAGCCATTTGAAGACACAAAAATGTCATAGCATTAAATGGACTAAGAGCACCAGAAAACATAATTATACACATCATATTCTACTAGCAAAAGTAAAATGTAAAAACTATGCGAGGCAAGAAAATAAAGGTAAATAACTTGATTGGACCCAGCTACATAACAGATGTTATTTATATAAGCAACACAAACTTTATTGATCGTTATATACCAAAAGGAGAAAAAATCAATCTTCCACTTAGACCAAACTGTTTTCCAAATTCCTTTTTTGAAAAAATATACTTTTTATTGATTTTTTACAGAGAGGAAAGGAAAGGGATAGAGAGTTAGAAACATCAATGAGAGAGAAACATCAATCAGCTGCCTCCTGCACACCCCCTACTGGGGACGTGCCCACAACCAAGGTACATGCCCTTGACCGGAATAGAACCTGGGACCCTTCAGTCTGCAGGCCGACACTCTATCCACTGAGCCAAACCGGTTAGGGCTCCAAATTCCTTTTTATTTCCCAATCAAAAGGAAAATGTATAGCTCACAAATTTACTTTAATCACATGAATTTTTTTAAAAATTCACACACACACACACACACACACACACACACACACACACACACCTATATATTCAACATACTGTCATTAAATAAACTGAAAGTACTTTCCTTTTTTATCATTTTCAAATTGACTTGTGTGACCAGGCCTACTCCATCTTCCTCTTCTTCAATGCTTTTACTAGCTAATCTGATCATCTGTCACAGAACTCTGACTAGTGAAAAACTTGGCCCCTAGTTTAACAATCCTGACTGGGGGCTGGGAGGAGGTGGATGGAGGGGATTCTCAGCAAAGGCATAGAAGGTAAGTGAGAGGCATAGAAATTCTACCTAAAATCGCTGGTGAAAGCCCACATCGTGAAAGTAGGAAATCTCATGTGAAAAGCATCAGGCTGGACAAAAAACACATTTAGCTTGTAGTAAACTTCTGAAGTACATACTGTACTTGATTGAAAAACAAAAGGGGCATGTGAAGAAAAGCCACGCATACTGCTACCAGATCTCTATGCCAATTTTACGCTGCATTTTACAAACCCTCAATGGTTTAAACACCTCCTCAGAACTTCCTTTCTGGAGAAGGAAGGCACTTTCTCTGGCAGGAGAGTGCTCTTGGGCTTTGTGTTAAACTGCTCTTGACAGCTGGAAGCAGGTCAAAAGGGCAGTTTATTTGTCCTTTTAAATCCATGCCAAAGTTAGTCGGGAGATCTAAGAATTAGTACTACCCAGACCTGCTTAGACTTATCCTTCCAGCAAAAATATGTCTAAGTATTCATAGCTGCTCATTAGAAAGTGGTGGTACTCAGGCATATTTACATCAGTAACTTCCATAATGGAAACACCAGGTAATTTTAATATTCTTAAGTCAAATATTTTTTATCAACTTTTAAAAAATAAACAATGCATCCCAATAAATTCAAATGGTATGGACCGCTCCAAAATGCATTTCAGAAAATTTGGAGTCTAATCCCTCTTCATCAGTACCCTGGCTAGGAGGAAGGGAAAGAAAACTGACCAGTTTAAACAAGGGAAAAAACAACAGAAACTCATATGATTCCCCTTAGGTTTGATGGGAGCCTGTGTTTAGATGCATGAATAAAGAAAAGAACATGGGAACAGTGAAAAGTACTCATTATTCTAATTCCACAGATATCACTTAAAACATTTAGTTAATGTGGATATAACTCACAGACTATTTCAAACCTGTACCTTTATACTCCATTGGAGAATTTTTCCTTTACATCCTATCCTACATCACTAGCACCTCTCCCCTCTCCTTTCCTCTTCTCTAAGAGCCCCGTCAAGGGAAGTGCCTGTGTTAGTGGTCAACAATGAGTGATTTAACGTTGCAAAATAATAATAATAATAATAATAATAATAATAATAATAATAATGTTGTAAAATACTAATAATAATAATAATTAGTAGTAGTAGTAGTAGCAGTAGTAAGATCTCACTACCCAAAAATCATTCTTAAATACTTTATCACAGAGGTGCTTCTGTTCTTTTCCCAGAATACAACGAAACCATTGCTGTTTTTCCGGACCATTATGACCTGTCGTTTTAGTAGTCGCTTATTCTGAAACCACAGGCTAACCTCATTCCACCGCACTGGCGGAGGGTAAAAAGGACTACAAGGCCGTGTTGCATCTTTCCAGCCTAAAGCTGTCCACAGAGAGGCCAGTGGAGCTCCAGACACTCCAAATTCCCTGGCTAATTCCACCGTAGCCTCGGTCTTTGTCACCGCCTATGAAATCTCTAATCTACAGAACGCGGCAGCTGAAACAGGCATCACCAACCACAAGGCCTTGAGATTACAGGGCTCTCCCGGCAAAGCAAAATCCACGTCTTCACCTCGTCACCAACAAAGGCTCTGCACCCTTCTCCATGCCGAGCCCCTGAAAGGCTCGCCCTCGCACGGTTCAGGGTCAGGAGCTCGGCCCGCTGGCCGCGGCAGAGGAGAGTCCGGTGTGATCCTCTGCAGGAAGCACACCCTCCCGCCCGCGCCGCGCGGCAGGTGGCTGGGTTCCCCCTGCACCTCCCGCCGCCTCCCAACCACCCTCCGCACCTGCAGAGCCCTGGTGTCGCCCGCGTCTCACTCTCCGCGGCCGCGGCTGCAAGAACAACGAACGCGGCGCTGGTCCCTGCAGCCTCTCGCGTCCCGGCTTCGGGTGGAGCGACGCGGGGCCTCGTTCTAATCTAGGGAGATGCGAGCGCGCTGCCCCAGCCTCCCTCCGACCGGCCCTTGGGCGGTGCCGTCCTCCCTGCGACTCGGCCCACGCACTTGCTCTCCTGGCTCCTCCAACCGCGGTCAAAGTCAAGGCAGAGCCCGGGGTCTCGACAGGAAGCGGCCGCTGCCCGCGGTGCAGCCGGGTGGGCCCTGCGGCTCCCGACCTCGAAAGGAAAGAAAGCGGCGCAGAAAATGCAGACACTGGCCGTGGGGCTCGGACCGAGGGGATGGGGAACCGAAGCCTGTGTTCCTCCTTACCTCCCGGGGAACCCTGCCCCGTTAACTCTCCATTCCGCGGTCCGGGAGCGGTGGGAGGGGACCCAGCCTATAGAAAATATACATACAAAGCTAACACATGCATGCAGTGCACTCTCTAAGCTCTTACCTCGAGATGGTTATGTGCCTGGAAAATGTTTAATTAGCTAACGAGGTCGGGGGAGGGGCTTTCTTGGTTGGTAAATAAATTGCCTTCTCCGATGTTTCCGATCTTTGGAACAAGCAGAACATCCACTGGCTCTTCTGCGGGAAATTCTTGAGAATGTGTTGCCCGCTGGGGGCCAGCTGGAGAGGCGGGGGAGTCTGTTCGCATTGACGGACGCAGCTCCGGCCAATCCGCGCTTGGAGAGGCGGTGCGCCTGACACCCGGAGCACCAATCACAGATTCCGATGGGAACGAGCCTCCCCACCACTGCAATTTCACTTGGCTGCCCAGGGAAGCAGCGCAGGGTAGAGCGGCGTCGACTGGGGCCAATAGCAGCTCGCGGTGACATCCCACGCAGCAAGGCCTTGGCGCACCGGCCAATGAGGAGGCGCCTCGATGGTGGGTGGGGTCGGAGTACAGTACCAAGCGAGGGTCTACCACCATGAGCAGTGAGGGTGTCGCTAGGGGCAAAGGGGCGGTGGTTGTGACAACTAGGAAACCGAAAACGGAATGCTAATTCTTTGCCTGAGCAAGGGCGCTTGAAAGGCATCTGGTTCATTGTTATTATTTGAAAAATTCACAGTGCAGCGTTCTCCGTGAGAAGTCATCATGTGATCCCTTGGGAATGTCTCATTCATTCGACAAGTATTTGTTTATCTAGGATTTTTTTTTGTATGCCAGGGACTGTGCTAAGCACTGGAGATACAATCGTGGCTCAACTAAACATGATAGCTTATAAACAAACGGAAACAAGCAAATAAAATAACAAATGTCAAGGAAGGAAATGGACAAGGTGTGGATATAGAGAATAAGAGGAGGTTGACATCAGATAGGGAGGGTTGTTATAAGATAATTTTATAAGATAACATTTAAATGGAGACTGGACGAATAAGAAAGAATCAGTCCTGACACCAGGAACGTGATGATTGTTCTGGGCAGAGAGAACAGCAGAGCAAAGGTCCTGAGGTGGAACAGCTTGACATTTTGGAAGAACAGAAAGAAGGCCAGTGTGTCTCCGGTATAGAGTTAGGGGAGAGCAGTATGACATGAGATGGATGAGGTAGACAGAAATCAGACCATGTAACCATTAATTTTGAATTTAATGGGACTCTATTGCGGCATTTAAGGAAAGGAGTAAAAGGATCTGGTTAAGATTTTCAATCACTTTGGTTAATGGGTTGAGAATAGGTAGAACAGGCTATTGGGAGACTGGGTAGGAGATTATATCAGATGAGATGCCAGGGAGGAAATGACCTGGCTGAAACTACGGCGATATCTCTGGAGGTAGAGAAAAACAGAGAGACTAGAGATTTTACAGATAAATTAGCTTTTTTGACATGTTGGGATCTTGATTCTGAGACAACTGTTTTGAATCCAGTTCACTGAATACTCTATTTAGAGAGTGATTCTCACACTGATGGCCCACAAATCCTAGTAATGATATTGAGGATTATTACATTGTGTTGAAATTCATATTTCACGGGGTTTTCCGGAATTTTCTTTCTGTTTTTAACTATTTATTGAAATATTTTATGTGTATTTACATATGCAGAAAACTACACATATCTCAAGTGTATATAGCTCAATGAATTTTCACAATCTGAACACACCTGTGTATATATCACGCAGATCCAGCAACAGAACATTATTAACAGCCTGGGACCCCATCATACTGACTTTCAGTCATTGCCTATCCTGAATTTCAACACAGAATAGATTTGCCTGTCTTTGTACTTGATATATATTTAGAGAACCATAAAGTATGTGTTCTTTTGTGTTTGATTTCTTTTTTTAAAAAAATATATTTTATTGATTTTTTACAGAGAGGAAGGGAGAGGGATAGAGAGTTAGAAACATCGATCAGCTGCCTCCTGCACACTCCCCACTGGGAATGTGCCCGCAACCCAGGTACATGCCCTGGACCAGAATCGAACCTGGGACCCTTCAGTCCGCAGGCCGACGCTCTATCCAGTGAGCTAAACCGGTTAGGGCTGTGTTTGATTTCTTTACTCAACTTTTTACTTATAAGTTTCTTCCATTCATTCATTTTATTCCATTCTGTAAATATACCACAATTTATGAGCTCATTCTTCTGTTGGTGGTTAGGGTAGTTTCCAGTTTGGAGCTATTAGAGATGGTGCTACTCTGAACATTCCAGTACATGTCTTTTGATGATAGCCTTTTCTTTTGGTGGAGCATTTTGATATCTGGGTTTTAAATGCAATTAAGTTTTTTTAATCTGTTCATTAATAATGTAGTACCACGCATTGTAATGTCTTAAACATTTGGACCAAAGTTTGGTGCAGATAATGAAGGACTTTGCTCTCATAAATATGAAAACTTTTGGCAACAACAAGGAACTGTAAACATAGGAATTTAAAACATTTTTTATTATATTTGGCATTTTGACCTTTTTAAGTACTTGCAATCTGTATGCTAAGAGTGAACATCATGACTTTGCTACATCTTTTTGTTGTTGTTGTTGTTGTTAATCCACACCCAAGGATATTTTTTTATTGATTTTTTTTTTTTTTTTTTTTTTTTTAGAGAGAGAGAGTGGAAGGGAGAGGGACATAGAGAGAGAAACATCAATGTGATGAGAGACACATCAATTGGTTGCCTCCTGCTTGAACCCCAATCAGGACCAGGGATTGAGCCTACCACCTGGATCAGAATCAAACCTGGGACGCTTCAGTCCACAGGCCGATGCTCTCTCCACTGAGCAAAACCGGTTAGGGCGCTACACCTTTAAAAAAAATTTTTTTTAAATTTAGTTCAGAGAGAGGAAGGGAGAGAGGGAGAGAAACATCAATGATGAGAAAAAATCATTGATCGGCTGCCTCCTGCACACCCTCCTGGAGATCCAGCCCACACCCAGTATGTACCCTGGACTGGAATCGAATCTGGGACTCTTCAGTCCATAGGCCGATGCTCTATCCACTGAGCCAAATCGGTTAAAGTGCTACATATTTTTTAAAAATTTGTTTTATTTACTTCAGAGAGAGGGAAGGAGAGGGAGATCCAGCCCACAACCCGGGCATGTGCCCTGACCAGGAATTGAACCATGACCTCCTGGTTCATGGGTCTACAATCAAGCACAGAGCCACACAGGCCAGGCTGCTACATCTTTTTACTATAATAGACTGTAATCCACAGTCAAATGATAAGCAAGGTCCTAAGGATATGCATATGTTTGATGCTAATACAGTTTTTGAAATTACATGTGGAAACCACATCATTCCACATTCTACCAGCGTTGATTACAAAAGAAGTTTACTTCTTTTGAATAACATACTTCTGCTCTTTGAATCTCTGAAGGAAGGCTAAATGTAGTACAAATGTACATCTGCTCAGCATGAGAGATCACATAATGTCCAAAAGATATAAGTAAACACAATACTCCAGGCCTTACTTAACTTGAGCTGTTTTCTATTTCACTTTATACTTCAAAGAATTGAACTATTTGATAATAGTGACTATCAGGAAATTATACCCACAATAGGGCATAAAGCTTTGGGTAGGTGCATGGCATAGGGGCTTGTAAATATAAAGTAGGGACATTTGAGTCTTGAGTAAGCCACTTGAGATTTAGGCTAATGAACTACCAAAATGAAATTGTTTAAATTAGCATATTAAACATTTTAAGAGTTTATCTGAGCAGAAATCAATTGGAATTGGGCAGCAGTAAGCCAAAGGTGGTTAGGAGCACTGCACCAACAGGAGCCAGAAGGAAGGCTTTATAAAGATGCAAAAGCAAAGCAAAGAAGTTATCTGATTGGCTATGGCCTAAGTAGTTACCTTTGAAGAACAGAGTGAAAACATAAAATGGAGTCACTGTTGTCAAGCTGCTAAATTACTAAAATGAAGTAGCTTGAGGCATGAGGAAATGATTATAGTCTTGTTTTAACTAGCCTGGAAACAAACTTTTGAATTTTCTAGTCTTGTGTTAATGCTTAGATATATAACAACTCTTCTTTTTTTTAAATATATTTTTATTGATTTCAGAGAGGAAGGGAGAGAGAGAAAGAGAAACATCAATGATGAGAGAGTCATTGATCAGTTGCCTCCTGCATGCCGGGCCTATGGGATGGAGCCCGCAACCCAGGCATGTGCCCTTGACCAGAATCAAGCTCAGCACCCTTCAGTCCACAGGCCAATGCTCTATCCACTGAGCCAAACCAGTTAGGACATAACAATTCATTGTGTATCAATACCTGGACATATACCAGACCTCCAGATAATCCCCTTAAAGGACTCATTTATCCAGACCACCTTACATCCATTATCCAGACCACTGAGCATCTGACTGATAACCATCCTGAACCAATCCTAAGACTAAGAATGCAGGACTGATTCTTCTCAAGAAAGTACTTTTTACTATAAGCACTCTTAGCTTTTCTTTCTTCTTCATCTTATTTGGGAAAATGTAGTTGGCCATTTGTGATTGGTTGTCCTTAGATTTCTACTACTCTCCCTTGAGGCAGTAAGTTTTGGTTTGTTTAAGTGAGCTTCTAAGGCATTAAAGTCACCCCAGTCTATTGTTTAATATAAGCTAACACTACCCACTTTCCTAATTAGTTACTAACTAGAGGCCTTCCCTTCCCCTGGCTGCCTACACCGGTTTTCCTTCGGCACCGGG